TGGATAGAGTATTCTTGACTGAAGATTGTTATCTTTTAAAGTTTTGCATATGTCATTCCAATGTCTCCTAGCTTTTAAGGTTTCTGTGGAGAAATCTGCTGAAAGTCTGATAGGGGTTCCTTTGTAGTTTATTTTTTGCTGCCTTGCTGCCCTGAGTATTCTTTCTTTGTCATTCACTTTTCCCAGTTTTACTATATGCCTTGCAGTAGGTATTTTTACAATGACATATCTAGGAGACCTGAAATCTTCCTCCACAAATATTTCTCTCTCATTCTCTAGATTTTGGATGTTCTCTGCTATTATTCCTTTGAGCACACTTTCTGCTCCATTCTGCTTTTTGTAGCCCTTGGGGATTCCAGTTATTCTTATATTGCATTTCCTCATTGAGTCGGCTATTCCTCTGAGATAGTCTTCATTCTTTTTTATTCTTAAGTCTCTCTTTTTTTTTCTGCTTTACTTCCCCCCCCGGTGCATAGTTGTACCTCTTAGCTGCAGGTCCTTCTAGTTGTGGGGTGTGGGATGCCGTCTCAACGTGGCCTGATGAGCGGTGCCATGTCCGTGCCCAGGATCTGAACCCTGGGCCGCTACAGCAGAGCACGCTAACTTAACCACTCGGCCATGGAGCCGGCCCCTTAAGTCTCTCTTTTATTCTGTCTGGAGCCATTCAACCTGTCTATCTTTGATTATGCTGATTTGCTCCTCCCTGGCATCCACACAGGGATTCAGGGATTCCGTATTATGTTTTATTTCTTTCATTGTATTTTTCATCTCTAGTATTTCTGATTGATTCTTCTCTATAGTTTCAATCACTTTTGTGAACTAACTCCAGAACTCGTTGATTTGTTTCTCATTGTTTTCCTTTATCTCATTGAGATTTTTGATGACAGCTATTCTGAATTCATTGTCGTTTAGTTTACTTATTTCTGAGTCCTCAGGACATAATTCTGGATGCTTGTTTTCCCTGTGGTCTGGAGATTTGATGAATTGATGGATGCTGGAAGAAGCATGGGTCTTCCCCATGGTGATATTATTCAGTTGCAGTTACAGGCTCTCGCCACTCAATGGGGGTCGGGAGCTGTGTATTGTGAGCCCTCTGCCTTTGGCTGAGATTGTGGCACACAGTGCAGGTTGGGGAAGGAGGGGCACTTTCTCTCACGCACAGACCCAGTTTCTGGATCAGTTCTAGCTATCTGGTCCCCTGGGGTTTTGGCTTGATGAGGTCACTCCATGTGAAATCATTCACCCCATTAGAGGGCTTCCCTCTAGGCTGCATGGCGTGGGACTCCTGAGTGATCCTGTGGACTTGCGGCCCCTCCCCTGCTCCTTCCCTCATGGAGCCTCCAGTGGCAGCTATCCCAGTCTTTAATGGAGGTAGCGAAGTTCTCTCTTACCCTATTCCATCTCCTCTGAGGTGGGCTCCAGCCTCTCCAGCCTCTGTCATTTGGCTTCTGTGGGTCTCTGAGGATTCCTGTGCTGTTAGAAATTTTCTGTTGGAATATGGTTACTCCTTTTGTTGTATGTTGGAGGGGAGAGAGTCCCTGGTGAGCTTACTCTGCCATAATGCTGATGTCAGTCAGTACTATACTGTTATAATTAGCTTGATAAGAAAATTCAAAATTGAGAAAGGCGATGCCTATAGCTTTGTTCTTTCTCAGGATTATCTAGGATATTCAGGATCTTTTGTGATTCCATACAAATTTTATAATCATTTTGTATATTTCTGTGAAACATGGCTTTGGAATTTGATATGGATTGCGTCCAATCTATAGATGACTTTCAGTATTCAGGCATTTTAATGTTAAATCTTCTAATCCATGAACATGGGACAGTTTTTATTTCTTTCCATCCTTTGTGTATGCTTCAATGCCTTTCATCAATATCTTATAGTTTTATGTGTATAGATCTTTCACTTCCTTGGTTATATTAATGTTTAAGTATTTTATTGCTTTTGATACTACTGTAAATGAATTTTTCATTATCTTTTTCAGAAATATTGTTCATTGTTGGTGTCTAGAAATTAAACTGATTTTTGGACTTAGGCTTTCTATCCTGAAACTTAAGTGAATTTATTTATTATTTCCAAAGGTTTTTTGTGGAGTCTTTAGGCATCTATACACAAGATGCTATCATCTTCAAACAGAACCAACTTTACTTTTTCATTTCTCTTTTGCACCCCTTTCTTTCTTTCTTTTTTTAATCTAACTTGTCTAACTAGGACTTCTAATATTATGTTGAATAGGAGAGGCAGGACTGGCATATATGTCTTGTTCCTGATCTTAGAAGCTTTAAAACTTTCGCTGTTAAGTTAGATGTGACTTGTCATGTATGTTCTCCATTATTTTGAGGTATCATCCTTCTATACCAAATTTGTTGAGAGTTTCTATCATGTAAGGATGTTGAGTTTCCCAAAAGCATTTTCTGCATCTATTGAGATTATCATATACATACCTTTAATTCTATCAATGTGGTGTATCACATTTATCTGTTTGCTTACAGGGAAAAACTTTGCATCCTATAAATAAAGTCCTCTGATCACAACATATGATCCTTTCATTGTGTTGTTCACTTCAGTATGTGAGTATTTTCTTGCTAATTTTTGTATATATATTAATCAGGACTATTGACATGTAGTTAGTTTTCCTTTCTTGTAGTGTCCTTGTCTGGGTTTGGAATCAGGGTAATGTTGGCCTCATAAAATAAATTTTGGAATGATCCCTTCTGTTAAATTATCTGGCAGAGTTTGAGAGGATTTGTGTTAATTCTTTTTAAAAGTTTTCGTAAGCTTCACCAGTGAAATCATCTGGTCTTTATGTTTGCTTTGTCTGGAAGTTGTGGGTTACTCATTCAACCTCCTTACTCTTCATTTGTTTGTTGAGTTTTTAAAAAATATTTCTTTTATGATTCAATCTTAGTAAGTTGCATTTTTTCATGAATTTTATCCATTTTTCTACGTTATCCAATTTATTTTGTATAATAGTAGTAGTTTCTTTGATTTTTTGTTTTTCTATTGTATCCATTGTAATGTCTTTTCTTTCATTTCAAATTTTACGTATTTGAGTTATCTCTTTTTTTTTCTTGGTTAGTCTAGCTAAAGCTTTGTCAACTTTATCTTTTCAAAGAGCCAGTTCTTTTTTGTTGATATTTCTATTTTTCTATTTTATTTATTTCTGCTCTGATATTTATCTCCTTATTTCTGCAAAATTTGGAATTTGTTATATTTTTTTTAACTCTTCGAAAGAGCAATGTTTGGTCATTTATAGATCTCTATTTCTCTTGGGTCTTAGAGCTTTTTTATTTTGGAGGGTGGTTTCATATTCCTTGAATATTCATGATGCTTGTCTCCTTGATCTTCTGTCTGCACATTTGAGGAAAAAGACATCTTCAGTTTTGGCAGATTAGCTTTGGCAGGCAAAGCCCTTCAACAGTCAGCCTGTCAAAGATTCTGCATGGGCTCTCTGGTGATGTGTGCAGGCAAGGGTGCTTCTGGAGAGCTCTAGTAGGCAGTCTTGGTGCTTTAGTCAGGCAGTGGCAGGCCTGGTGCTTGGATTCCTGGGGTCCAGTTTGGCACCAGATACCACTAGTGGTGGAGTCTGGAGCCTGGAGTCACTGGGACATTTCTTGCTCTTGAATCTGCAATGAAGGGTGTGGGACCTTGGTCTGTGTGGTCAGGCCTGGATTCTGAGTCCAAAGTAGCCAACCAAGTGTCAGGGAACCGGGGAATTGACTTGACAATCCAGTCCGTGGGGATGACCTGGACCTGGGGGCAGAATCTTGAGTTCATGGGAGCTGGCTAGAGGCTGGAGACACATATGTCAGCCTGGTGCCAGGTGGAGCCAGAAAGTTGGGCACCAGAGTCCAGCCTGGTGTTTGAGTGGGCTAGGAGCCTGGATTGGTGGAGCCAGCCTGGGGCCTGAGATCATGAGTCTTCGCTTGGTGCTGGAGCAGACCAGGAAGTGAATGTGCAGGACTTGGTCTGGAGTCTAGACTCAGAGGGGTTAGCCTGGCACTGGGGTAGGTCTGGCACTGGGGTCTGAGGTGAAGTCAGGTGCTCACTTCACTGTACTGTCCTCACTTAGAGAGTGTCTCTCTCCACAACGGGCCACACAGGCTTGGGGTAGGCATGACAGGGGTTACATAATAATGTCCTTTTCACTCTATTAAATGTGTCTTTTTTTATTAATTTGATCCACAAAGGTGCTTTAGTCACTCATCTGGAATCCTTGACTCCTGCGAAGGTATTCTGGTGGATGGATAGCTGTTTAATGTGATGTTCCTGGGAGCAGACAGGTACTAGAAAATGTTATACTGCCGTCTTGTTGGTGTCACCCTGGAAAGTCTCTCTACTCACTCTATTGTCTGAACTTTTTAAATATGTGCAGTTTATTTTGTCATTATTCTCTCATAAATTATTTAAAAGGAAAATTTCTATGGATACGTGACTCAGGGTAGGGTCTAGGGCACAGGTAGCTGAGTCACTCTGAAGAAGCATGTTTGATACATCAAACTGGGAAGAAAGAAGAGTGTTACATATGGCTATAGTGCAGTGGAATTAAGTTGATTATTATTTTTTCTGTAAACTAGATTAACCTAGATATAAGAATGAATGAAATAACCTTAACTTGGTTTAAAAAGAACACTAAAGCAACGCAGAGATTCATGGATGAGCCTTAGAAACACAGCATAGATATTCACAGCTAGTTGCAGGTTTATGAGACACCACAGAGCTCAGAACAATTCCCTACCATACCATTCAATGTGATAATATATACATAATGTTAAACCATTTTATTTTGTGTTGAGTAGTTATGCAGCAACGGCTAACACATACAATAATCGTTATTCCATGAAATAAATGGAAATTTCCAATTGTATTCATATCAAAGGTTGGGAATAAATTAGGAAAATAGAAAAAAAGGAGGAAAAAACCTGTTAGATATCAGAGAGAGAGAAAAGCATAATAAAATAAATAAATTGTACAAAGAAGTTAAAAAGGACGGGTTCTACTTCTGCAATGTGGTTAAAGAAGCACAATTCTGACTCTGAGGCTTCGAGTCCTGCAATCGTGGGCATTTCTTCTGCCCAAGTATAACTGGCCCTTTTGTACTTGCCATCCTGAAGAATCCTTTCAGAGCCACTTTTACTTCTTTATTCCTCAGACTGTAGATGAAGGGATTCAGCATGGGTGTGACAACAGTGTACACCAGTGAGGCTATTGCACTTGAGTGTGAGCTCTGGCTAGCAGTAGAGCTGAAGTACACTCCTAGGCTTGTACAAAAAAATAAGGAGACAACTGATAGGTGAGATGCACAGGTGGAAAATGCTTTATACTTCCCTTGAGCTGATGAGATTCCACATATACAGCAAACTATCTTAAAGTAAGAGTAAATTATACCAGCGAGGGGACCACCACACATCAGCATAGCTGTAAAATACATAACCATATCATTAAGAAAGGTATTAGAACATGCAAGTTGGATCATCTGATTGAGTTCACAGAAAAAGTGGGGGATTTCCACGTGTGTACAGAATGAGAGCTGCAACACCATTGAGGTTTGTAAGAAAGAATGCAAGACACTTGTGATCCAAGATACTAGAAGCAAGATTCCACAGATCTGATGGTTCATGCTCATGCTGAGCCCATGTAGTACAAAAAAGTACAGCTGGGTGATGCAACCTGCATAGGTTATGACTTTGCTCTGCATCTGGATGTTCACCAACATCTTTGGGATGGTCGTGGAGGTGAAACAGATGTCTACAAATGACAGGTCGGAACGAAAGAAGTACATGGGTGTGTGGAGGTGGGAGTCAGAGCTGACAGCCAAGATGATGAGCCAGTTTCCAAGCACAGTGATCAGATACATGGAGAGAAAATGTCCAAATGTGAAGGACTGCAATTCTGATTCCTCTGAAAATCCCAGAAGAAGAAATCCTGAAACCCCTGTTTCATTGCCTGGTTCCATGTGGCTGGATTGACTACCAGGAAAGTGGAAAATGACATTACTAATTTCACACAAATGGCATTACTCCCATTGTTGGAATGCTACTATTTCTATATTGTGCATTCATAAAAATCAATGTCAGTATTTTATGCATGGATTTGTTCTCTTTAGGTGATTCCCTGTTAATCTCTGATTAGGCGTTTTTGACCCATTCTCAGTATTTTCCCCAAGAGCTCATGCATTATACTGTTTTACTGAGTATACCTTTCATGCATTTGAGAAATATGTATTAAGTTTTGAACATGTTCCAAGCACTTTACAGGCAATGAGTATAGAGTGCTGAAAGACAGATGCCACCACAATCCAATGATGGTGAAAGAATAAAAACAAATAAAAATAGTATATAATACCCCAGATGATGACAAGTACTATGAAGAAAAGAAAAGCCAGTATAAAGTAGAGAATAGGTAGGAGTTTTATTTTTTAATTGGTGTTTAGTAAACACCAGTAAATAAGGTGACTTTTGAACAGAGAACTCAAGGAAGAGAAGGCAGGAGCCAAGAGCATACCTGGGGAAGTGTGTGCCTGGCAGAGGGAACAACTACTGAAAAGGCCCTGAGGATTATACCACTTCATTTATTTATCAAAAAGGGAAGCAAGTGTGAGAAGGGGAATAATAAAGAAAATGTGATAGAGATGGTTTCATAAAATTTTGAAGAGACAGGTGGCCTCTTTGATGGTTAAACTTCAAGACAAAAGGAGTCACTCATCCACACTGTATATCCTTATGTGCTTTATAAATCTGGTTGCAAAGTCATCCTGTAAATTGAAATAGATCCCCTCCTTAACATCATCTGTTGAATTCTGGCCTCTGCATTGTAAGTGACATCTTGCAATATGTGAGACTGTACCCCTGTTCTGATGATGGCTCACATTCCACAAGGCACACACATACATGTCAGATCATTGTTTCCTGGGCTGTATTCTTACCATGACTTTTTCACCTGCAGCCCCAATAATAAGCTAGAAGTACATATAACTTAAGCTGGCCACATCAATTACTATTACCCTAAATAATGTAGAAACAGTATTTGAAATTCCAATTAGTGAGCCCCCTATGGAGAAATAAAACTGAGAATCCAGGTTGGATAAGCTCATTTTCTGCCCTCTAGTTAAAGAAACATAAATAACCTATTCACTAAACAGAGAGAGCATATGTGAGAGAGGGAGAGAGACAGTGAGAGAGAGAGAAATGGGCATGAGGGGTAAAAAAGATCTAATAGTTCAGATGGTACCTGAGAATTTACAAAGAAGAAAAATTATCCTTGGTTCTGGCAATAACCCAACACTTGTTAGATCTCCTTGATGCCCAGAAAAATAATAAAGGAGTAAAAATACTTTTGGCAGAACACAAAAGTAGTGATATCTGTATGGTGTCAATCACCTTACAGATTATTTCCTCCAAAGAAAAGAAGTTTGATAGGGAATAAATCAACACTTCGCAAATGAAAATATGCAAAGAACAACAAAAGTTGGGCATTTTATATATGAAGAAGTAGAAGACTTGTTTCTATATTTATTTGATCAATTGGATTTTATACGATCTCTTGGGAGGTGAGGCAAGTCACTTGCACTTTTCTTTTTTTTTTTTTAAAGATTGGCACCTGAGCTAAGAACTGTTGCCAATCTTCTTTTCTTTTTTTCTGCTTTATATTCCCCAAACCCCCTGTACATAGTTGTATATCTTAGTTGCAGGCCCTTCTAGTTGTGGGATGCGGGACTCTGCCTCAACGTAGCCTGATGAGCGGTGCCATGTCGCGCCCAGGATCCGAACCCTGGGCTGCTGCAACGGAGCTGCGAACTTAACCACTCGGCCACGGAGCCGGCCCCGCACTTTTCTTATGTGCGCCTATTCTTTGTTTTTCTTGAACTTTAGGTTGTAATCTCTTTTTTGACAAATGTAATGGGCATACTCTAGTCCTGATTCTGGCCTTTGTACAACATTCTAAGTCCTCTTCAGACTATATTCTACGAAATTCTGTACATGTCATGGCAATCCATCCTCTGACTTTGAATAACTGACTTCATAAGATTTATGCCTCGGGACCCTATGTCATACACACATTTATGTCATTGTACTGTGACTTCATCTTTCTAGTGTGAGTTCCAAATGAGCAAGGCCTCTACTTGCATTTTCTATTGTAGTTTGTCAAAATAGTATATGAATATATGTGCACTTATATAGAAACAAATTTATGAAAATGAAGATTCATGAAATAAAGGGATTTGCAGAGATAATGAAGCCAGTTAAATAGAGTTGTTTCATACAACTCTATTACACAACATAGAATGGGGCATCAAAAACAAATTGAAATGGGACATAAAACAACAGTAATTGAACAATATCAACATGAATCAATAATTCATTTAGCAAAGCCCTTGACATAAGAGACTACAACATAAAATGTAGTTAGAACTCTCTGGCATGTAGCAGATGCTCTGTTATTATTTATTGCATGAATCAGAAATCATTTCTTAGTACATATGGACATTTAATATATGACAAGGTGTACTTCAATTTAGATAGTGAAGGTGTATTGTTTCATAAAAGCTGGCATAAGTGGCTGTCCATCTAGAAGAAAATGAAGTGACTGTCTATCTCACACATCTTCAAATATCAGAGGGATTAAAGACCTCAATATAAAGGGAAATAGTACATTTCAGGGGAACATGTACATAAAAAACAGGTGAACATGTAAAATAAACTAGAAATAAAAGCTACAAGTAGGCAAACCCATAATTAAGGCATGAAAATCTGAAGTAAGAAGGTAGAGATTTCTAACTATGTAAAATTTAAAAATTTTTATAGACAGTAAATCCAACCAAAAGCAATAATCTTTAAAGAAACAATCAATAAACGATAATCTGTCAAAAAGGTTTGAAATGCTGCCAACTGTGGAATAATAGAAACATAATTCATGGACATATAATAATAATAGGCATATAATAATGACCACGGGGATCAAGTCTATGAATATTTGCTCAAATTGAATATTAGTCTCAAAAAAAACAAGAAATCTCTTTCACATTCCTCAACCTGTGAGATCTTCAAGTTTTAAAGATCTTTCACGTTGATTGGAGTTGGAATTTCTAAACAGGTAGCAAAATAGGATTCTCTAATTTTGCTGGCAAAAGTGTGAAGTGTTACATGTTGGGAAAACAACCTGAAGGCAGCTAAAAGTATCAAAATATAGATTTTATTAATTCATGATTTCTCACTCTTGGCACTATTTACATTCTGAGCTAGGTCATTCTTTGTTGTGGGGGCTGTCCTGTGCATTGTAGGATGCTGAGGATGCGTCCTCAGCCTCTACTGACAGCCCCTCATGTGATGCCAAATATGTCTTTGCCTATTCCTCAGTGTCCTCTGGATGTTCCTGTCTTTGGGGGAAAAATATTGCCTCTGGTGGAGAAGCAGAATTCTAATATAACCATCCCAAAATACTTTTGTATAATTGTTATAATAGTAATGTATTGAGAGAGAATATGTAAGTGTGAATAGCACAGCCATAACATTTTGCAGACATTTAAATAATTAATTAGCTTTGCACTAATTATTGGATATAGGCCCATGAGCTATTACTGAGTAAGAAGGAAGAGTGGACACAGAAAACAAGATTTCACTAAGACATAAAGAGGATTTACTAGGGGCACAAGATGCTACTCATGATTTTGTTAAAAGAGTATGCATATGTATGTGTGCATAGCATAGAAAGACAGTTTTAAAAGAAACTAAGAACTTATGGAATAAATATTGTCAAGAGGAATAAAATTAGGTTAAGTATAGTGGTTTAAAAACAGCTGTATGAGGCACAATTGAATAAAAATCTAAAACTAACATATATAGACATAAAATAATAATAAAAATTGAATGAGAATCTAAAGCTGACATATATAGATATAAAATAATAATAATTTACTAATATCAACATTGGTTAGTAATTCCAGATTAAATTTCCAAAGACTTGGAAATAAAAGAATAAAATAGAATGGCTTTAAACTTTGCGAAGAACAGTATCTAAGTTATAATTTCTTCTTATATAAAGATATGTGGATTCAAATAATAGTTATGGAAGTTGAAGTTAATCTTTACTCAAGTGTAAAAATGAATGTCTTTCAGTTGATGGTCAAAGATAATGTGACTCTTAGAAATAGATCTAACCGTAAAAGGGCCAAAGGGAACAAGAGGGAATGAAAAGAATGTAAAAACTAGTTGGTAATATGTATAAAGGGTGACATTAGCATTAAGTATACAGAAGAAAATTTACTTTGACTTTAGTTTATATCAAATATTCACAAGTGAAGAATATAAAAGTGAGAGCTAAATACTTCTGGGAAGAAAAATAAAATCTAAAAAAGCAATAGAAAGAACGCAATATGACTGAGTGATAAATTTGACCCCACATTACTAATAAACATGATTCCCCACTTATTCATCTATACATAAAATAATTCAATGACAAAGAACAAAATTAGTGAAAAAAACTCTAGTTCCTTGTTTAGAAGAATGCAATCAAAAACAAGAATAAAATCACTCTGACCTCATTTCACAAATGTATAAAGTACTTGAAGAATTTATAATAGAGAAAACAGTTGAATAACTAACCCAGAAGTATCTTCAGCTCACGCATATGAAATAATTGCAGGGTAAAGTTATTTAGCATGCCCCTTTTTATTTATCAAGTCAAACTGTTTTTTTTTTTTATGTGAATACCCAGAGGGAAAGAAGATACTATGAAATGAATGTCTTATGAACTGTTGTTGCAAGGAAATATTTGCAAGTAACACATTAGTCTGGGTCTTTCTCATCAATAAGAAGACACAGTTGAATATGCCCGTTAAAAAAAAAAAGGAGATGCTCTTACTTCACTGGACATCCTTCTTCACATGATACCATATTTTCCTACTCCTTTTGGCTGCAAATCCTCTTGGATGTGTTCTATTCTACTGGAGGCACTTTA